TTGGGGAAGAATAACATAACTTCTGCTTTATGGGTCTTGTAGATGTATTTATATGTTCAACTATAACTATGTCTTTGTGTTGTTTGTCAGCTGGTAGAATAACAAAATATTTTTCCTTCAGTACGACCAGTACAAGACGCCAATGGAGAACATAGGTCTGCAGGATTCACTGCTCTCACGTTTCGATTTACTGTTTGTGATGCTGGACATCGCGGACGCAGACCATGACAACATGATATCGGAACACGTGCTGAGAATGCATCGATACAGGTAAATATCAATGACATTTACTTATTTCAGAGCATAGAATTATACAAGGGCAAGACAGATCTGGCTCTGATGGCAATCGGCTTCGCCAGTAAAGACTTGCAACTCGGATGAATTAGAAGCTGGTCTTTTAGGGATTTGGGGATTGTGTATGAGGTCTTTGGTCTTTAGGAAATACAATTGGGTCTTTAGGAAATTCACTGTAACGGCAAAACGCATCGCAAAATTTCTCTCCGTTACACGTTTTATGGCGAGCAGATGGTCCACCTGATGGTAAGCTTATCGATATCCAAAACAGCACTGGGTTTTCAAGTGTTGTGGCTTTGTGTGTGAGCAATAACATAAGCGTTCTTTAAACCGGGTTTTTCGTAGTACACTCTTCAAAATTACAAACCGAAATATAATATTTTTCCTGAAATAAGGGGAAGTGATATGAAGTTTTCAGTTTAAAACGACCATAATACCATTTTCTAAATGAAAACTTTATAAAAGTATTGTTCACACAATATTATTTTTATTATTGTCAAAGCAATTTATCCTTTAAATGTACACAAGTTGAATGTTGAATGTGTTTCAGAAACCCCAAAGAACAAGATGGTGAAGTACTACCAATGGGCTCCACAGTAGAGATGCTTTCTACTGAAAATCCAGATAATGATGAAGCTGAGGTAACTTTTATTTCCAAACAATATTTTATTTTTAGTAATAGTACAACTATGTCTTTAAAAACTTTTTTCTTTTCTCTAATCAAATAGAGAAAATAGTTACTAAGCTATTGACCTTTTCAACTCTTTTCGTCTTTGATTAATTTGTACTATCTTTGCTAGATTTAAAAGGCTTTTTAGTCTAAGATGTACTTTTTATATTTTTATAGGAAACAAATGCATCAATATATGAGAAGTACGATCCCCTTTTACACGGGAATACTCGTAGCAAGAAGGAGCAGTACCTGAACACAAAGTTTATGCGCAAGTTCATACATATCTCGCGGCTTATGAAGCCCAAGCTCACACAGGAAGCGTCCGACGCCATTGCTGATGAATACGCCCGACTCAGGAACCAGGATATGATGGACAGTGACGTTGCTAGGGTGCGAAAAACTACTCTTTATCAATTGATGATTTTATCAAAATCAATTTATATCCATCCAATTTCTATTAGTGAATAAGGCTTGCTATAATGTCTATTATAACAACTTAGCTTTTGTTACGATAGACAATGTTAGCTGACTACACGCTTTTAAACCTAAAACAGATAAAAAGTACATGATATCTAGAAAAAAAAAAACAGATTAGTTTATAAAAGTTATGAAGGATATTTTTATTTTTAGGTATCAAAAAAAATAATAATTTTATTGCGCGCAATGTAAAGCAAACGGGCTTCGTGTCATTGTGTGCGTAGGTTCACAGCTTAGCATTTAAACGCTGTGATAAGTACGTAGGGCGACGTTTTACTTCGCAACAACAAAACAATTCTGTAAAATAAAAACCTACTGAGATGCACGATGTTTTTTGTCGCGGCGGGTCTGCAATTATTTATTACGTACATTACTGTTCGTAACTTCAAATACATAATTTATTTAGAAAAATTGAAAATTCAGGTAATGTTTGTTTGGAAAAAGTTTTGTAATAATACGTAGAATTCGATCGCGCAAAAAAATTTAAAATGCGTCTTTGACCTTCAATATCTCGAGAACCGAGATAGTTTAATCGAGAGAGTCCCAGCTATGGTCTTAAAGAAAAAATTATCCAAATAATGGGTAGAATACGTGGCTTTCGGCTTCGTTAAGTGTTGTAAGCCCAAGTGTTGTAACACCCTGTATTGTAAGACATACTAAATTGTCATACAAACCTAAGTTTAATTGACATGCTGAACTAAGGTTTATACGTGTGCAGTTTTCACGTCGCCGCGACGTTTGCACACGGCAGGTTGCTGGTTGGTTGGATGACTTAAAACTACTGGATGGAAAGCACTACTTTCCTCAGTCAATTCACATGAGTAAGTAACGTTATTCTAAATAGAAATTGTATTACGTTTTGTAGACGCAACCGGTAACAGCCCGTACTCTAGAGACGCTGATCCGTCTGTCGACGGCGCACGCCAAGTGTCGCCTGAGCTCACAGATCACGCAGGACGACGCCCACGCTGCCATCGAGCTAGTGCAGTTCGCCTACTTCAAGAAGGTAAGACAATTTCAAAATTAATTTAGAAAAAATAATTTTAAAATAAATGACATTACAGTTGCATAAATGCGTGCTTTGGGAGTGTGATATTGTGTAGTGTGATTCGTGCGAGCTCTTATAATGTATAATTTTCTCATATTCTAAGTAAGTTTATTATATACTAGCGGCCCGCCCCCCCGCTTCGCACGGGTCCAACTGTTTCACTATCGAAGTGTCACTTTTTCCTAATCTTCCCCTCTACTTTTGATAAGAACCTTCTCCTGACAATAACAAACACAACAAAAAAAGAATTAGCAAAATTGGTCCAGGCATTGTTGAGTTATGCGCTTACCAACACATTTTGCGATCCATTTTTATATATAAAAGAAGAAGTAATTTACGAATAACTTTTCGAAGGTTTCGAAGAAGTCATAAATCGTTTACAATGAGAATTAATAGCTTGACAATCATTATGTAACAATCGTTTTTAAGCACAGCACATCTTAAATTTGATCTCTGAATGCAACGAAAAGGAATTATTTATCAATTTAACATTGTTCTAACTGCCACAGGAACCGTTCAAAAAACGAATATATCTATTTAAATTTTAATGTTTAATACAAAGCTATGCAATACCACGAAGTTTGAAATATTGCCCAGTGTGTAGCATAGGCTTAAATTTTGTATGATAAAGAGTAATACAGCAATATTGAAATGTGTCGTCAGGTATTAACAAAGGAGAAGCGTCGTAAGCGCCGCGTGTCAGAGGATGAAGGCGCCGCTTCTGATGGAGAACAACCAGCACCACCGCGCGCCAAGAAGTCCAGAAAAACGGTAAATATACCTTTTTAGAGCACAACACATTTTTTTTATGTCATAGGTCGGCGAACAGGCAGCATATCGAGGTTCGAGGATGAGAGGGTGGAGGGTACAAATATTTAAATTATCCCAATTCAAATCAATCAATTCAGCCGTTGTATCCAATTAGAAATCTGTTTCCTTTCAGGCCGGTGCTCAAGGAGAGGATCCTTACACGTTCTCATCAGACGAAGAGGCGGAGCCAGTACTGCGGGCCGCGCGCTCCTCACAGCCAGAACCTACGCAACGAACCACCAGATCGTCACAGAAAACTATCGATACTAACAGGTTAGTTTAAAATTTGTATTACTCGTTTGTTTCGACCAAAAATGAATAACTATACATTTAACTTCTCGTCTTATCACATTGAGATGAAAGTTGTCGGGTAATCATTAACTCATACCTAGTATACAGGAGCAGTAGGTCCTATGTGTGTCTTAGGGTGTTTTGTGGCACACGTAAATGTAATACTAACTTTTACAAGAGGCCTTTATCTTATAACATTATTTATAGTTATAATTATAATAGTAGCTGACCCAGTAAACTCAGTACTGCCTCGAAGTTAACTAAAGTTTTATACAAACAGCATTTCTAAATGTACAATACTAAATGAAATAAACATTTTTCCTTCCAGATTAACGCAATTCAAATCAGCGCTACACCAGTTGTTCAAAGAGGAACGAGCGAACTCGTTGCCTTTGTCTCGCGTCACGTCATTCGTCAATGAGAAGTACTCTCACGAAACGTTCGACGATGGTGAGATTATGGCCGCCCTGGACAAGATGACGCAGGATAATCAAGTAATGATGGCTGACGATATCGTTTTCTTGATCTAAAGGTCACTATGATATATAGATCTGTATGTAAACTTAGTGTTATGTTGATTGAACTCAATGATGATTATTGTCACGTTGCGTAAGCGCATATTGATAATAAGGTTTGTTAACTGTTTTGTTTCAATTTGTGTAGATTTCGCTCAGTTTCGTCTAGCAAACTTGCATTTTTACCACTAGTAGAGATGCGTTGATTATTTCTAATAACTTTTAACCTAAAGCCTTCCCCGATAAATGGTCTATTTAACACAAAAATATTTTTTTCAATTCGAACCAAGTAATTGATGGGATTAGCGCGTTCAAATAAACAAACAAACTCTTCAGCTTTATAATATTAGTATTGATATTTTGTTACTGTTCGTAGTGCAGGATTGAATAGAATGAATCTGCCAAATATTGGGTTTGATACATTTAAAGCAAGTATTCCTATTCGGTTAAACCTAATTTCAGCCCATCTCGAGTAACTAGTAAAGTTTGCTTGGACTGGACATAAATATGCCACACATCTCTCTGGTTTTTTATTATTAGTTTTTTTTTTGTTTCGTAGTCTTGTGTACAGTTACTACTTATTAGAATTAGTTAAACTTTGAATCAGTGATACATAATCTCCATCTTCTAAATTTATTTCAACAACCTAGCCTATTATTTTGTGCCTGTATCATCAATAGATCCTACATACTGTGCATCACTAAGAACAATTCCCGCCCATAATTAGGACAATTATTTTGTATTATCATTATCATAATATTTGTCATGTTACTGTTACATAATGTTAGAATTAAGTGCCTTTTGTACCTACCTAATTATATAATTCATAAATCAAGGTAAATAATGATTTACAATCCAATAAAACAATTGATTTTTACAAACAATATTAAGTTATTTATTTTTACACAATAATTAAAACCTAGCTGGTTAGATGTATTGTTTATTTCCTTCCTTTCTTTCCTTTGCCTTTATTGAATCCACCTCCTTTGCCAGACTTATTTACTTTCCCTCCAAAAACTTTTTTCTGTTTATTAAAAGGTCTCTGTCTATCATTTCCATCTCTCTGGAACTTTCTGCCCCCTTTTTTATCATTTTGGAACTTCCTGCCGCCTGCCTTGTCATTCTGGAAGTTTCTGCCGCCTCCCTTATTGCCCTGGAAGTTTCTGCCGTCTTTTTGGTTTCCATTGAAGGGCCTCTTTCCATCTTGTTTCTTCTGCGGATTGTTTATTTCCTGACTCTTCTGGAATTTCTTTTGTATTTTCTTATCTAATCTCATCTTTTTGAATCCTCGAGGTCCTTCTTCGTCGCCTTTCCGTTTTTTAGTTGTGTCACGTGTGAAAAGATCTAGAAATTAAAACATAATAGTCAAAAAACCTGCCAGTTCATATCAATTGCCCCCTGGAAATGGTTGAAAGTAAATTACGTGGTTGCTAAAAATATACGTGGCGATAATGGTGTCAAAATGAAAATAATTATCAATTTACTTTAGAATTTTCGCGTGTATGATATATGTGAGACTTCCAGCGTATAGAAGATGTTGAAATTTTCGAAAGTTTTCCAGAACATATACATTTTGCAACGCATACAAAATGACTGATACATTTTTTAAAATGATAACAAATGAAGGTAGAAGAAGTATTGACCTTTTTCTGGTTCGACGCCGACCTCCTGCCTGTAGTAGTCTGCGTCATCGTCCTCATCATCTTGCTCCATGTCGGCGTGCTGTGACTCTGCATTCGCTAGCTCCATTAACCTGCACGATTTCAAACTTGTTAAAATACAAAAATACTTCCAATATGAGTAAGTATGTCTCGGTCATACGCATGTGATATTTTGGAATTAAGTACACCAAACAGAAGTTGGCTTCCAACCGGTAGCTTGACACTGCACCGCTGTAGATAATTATATAAAACCGATTTTCGGTGGTAAGGGATTAAAACGCTAACGCAGTCAACAGGGCATGTAAAAAAACAGGTCACGTAAACTTGAGTAGACTGCACAAAGTTCGACGCATCGGTTGTCGAGCAATGCTGCTCGTAAATATTTAAGCCCCCATCGTGGCTTGAGATAAGTCGAGTTATGTCGTCAAACAGTACAGTCGTTGCACAGCAACTAACTATATTTTAATCTGGTTTCGCAAATACGATATGCTATTATTTTATTAGCTGGTGACAAAACAAACATGAAAAAGCGACTGACCTCTGACTTTCCGTCATTTCTTTCTTCTTCTTCATGCCCTCCAGCGCCTTCTGTTTGAGAGATTCCTTCTCTTGCTCTTTCCGCTTGACGTTCTCCTCTTGTTGTGCCTTTCGTTTCTCTTTCAGTCGTCTGTAATTTTATAAAAATGTTTAGTAGTATTGAAGGACATACGCAGTACTTACAGTAATAAGGTAGTTTAGCCAACTAGTCGAATTCAATACTTTTATCCAAATGTCAAAAACGATACTTTTCTATGAAACTGGTATGAAAAACTGAGTTATAACGTCATAGTATTTTTGCGTCAAATAGCTAACTTAATTATCTTAATAATTAATTACCTATAAAATAACTAAAACTTAGTGTATCGATCGATCGATGAATAAAAGAATTTTTTAATATTTTATTGTATTGAAACGTCGAATTAATTTATTTTTGACCTAGGAAACTACCCAATTATTTTTTAACAACATTTTTGATCTACAGTCATCGAATAGTTCTAATTGTTTGTATATAACGAACCTCTTTTCTTCTCTCCTCTTTTTGATCAATGCCTTTTCTTCATCTGTCTTCTCTATAAGGTTATGATATAGTACCTCACCATCCATTAAACCATCTTCTACCTGAATAAAAAAAACACATGAATATATCATCGTGTGTGAAGAAAAAACTGGACACCGCGAACGTGTAGAGTCTACATTGTCTTGTTGGTGGAGTAATCGCAAGTGAGGCGGAGCATCGTGTTCGTCGTGGAGCAATTTATTTATTTTTATATAAAATTTTTGTCCCTCATTAGAATTTTCTCCTGTGTCGTGGGTGCATTTAGAAACATACAAATTCACATACACACGCCACTCAGACCCGAAACAATAATTTGTCGATCACACAGTGATGAGTGGTGCGGGAATCGAACCCGCTACACGTTACACAGCAGCCAGTTGTTGTGCACAAGTGAACATCACTTAATTAATAGTTGTGACAATCTAAACTATATGGGCTTTGGAGAATGAAGGACTATATTATACACCAAGTATTCAAGGCGCTACTCATCAGTTACCAACGAAAGATAAAATAGGTATATCTCGATTTTGCGGCAATAGTAAGATTAGTATTCCATCAACTTTTAAAATACACTATTCAAAAGTACAATTAGAAAAATAATGAAAAAATTGTAACCTTGACAAGTTGGAAAGATATCCTAGGACCTAATTCGAACAGTCTGATAGCGGACTTTGACTCGGCAGCGGCACCTCTCGACGCCAAGTTCTGTGGAAGCACCACCTGGGAGTTGGGATCGTCTTCGAATTCACTTTCTGATAACATACCAGCTCTGGGAAAAAAACAAAAAACATAGTTATTACAATCACAATGCACCTCTGTATGATTTATGGTTTACTTGAAATAAATGTTTTTGTCTTCAGATTACAGTAAGATTTTATGACAATAGAATAGTAGGTAGTTTACATTTAATAAGTGCACCTTTTCCCCTTCAAAGATTATACTGTATTCATAAAAATGACAAGAAGGCACTAAAGTAAAGTATAAAAAATTAAATACTCACTTGTCGAAAAATTCTGACATGTCCTTACAACGATTTAAGTTGGGAATTTTCCCTTGCACCATCTGTAATTAGAAAAAAAATACATACAAATAAAATGTCAACAGTCAACTAGGTCTGGGGTTGCGGGGTAAGCGCAATGAGGCACTGCGACCTCGGCCCAGAGCAGGAGAAGGAACAGGGGAGTTTTTAGTCAGTAAGAGTCTGACACTCCCTCCAGCCCGGCCCTGGGCAGGAGGAGTCATTTGATGATTATACTCTCACAAAAAAAAACAGTCAACTAGGTTGAAGGCAATATTGTTTTAGTTGGAGTAGAAAAAAAAATATCCGAAGAACCACAAACATATCAAGCATATAAATTATAGCTATTAATGAAGTTAATGTGATAAGAAAAAAATAAATTAATTTACCTTTTTAGTTCCCTTGTTGAGACCTACTGGAGTAGCTCGGATGGCGTAGTGTCGCATTTCAACAAGTTGTGTAGAAGGATTGTAGTTCATCAGTACGCAACGACGGATGTTCTTTAACTTTACCTGAAATAAAAATAAATAAGTTGAAAAATACGCACTTATTAAAGAAAGAAAGCTCAGCTAAGAGAAATTGAATGTTTTCTGTTCATTGGTTCCATAATTTCTATAATAATCATTCATATATGATATCATTGTCAAATTCATTGTCCTGATCATCTGCATATAATTTTGTCTCCATAATCGTTATAATTGAGCCACAACCTACAATTAAGTAGGTTGTGGTACAATTATTAGAAATTTGTTGCTTTAGAAAAAGGCAAGCTGTATGTTAGTAACAGGGATCTAAAATAAAAAAAAAAATGTAAAATCTGAATCATGTGTTTGTAAGCGCAAATTTCGAGAAAAGTTGAAACCATTTCTCTAACAAAATTCTTCTTGTGTTTGTTTCCGCAAAAACTAATTGAAAATTTAAGTGGAAAATCGGGTATTTGCGTTTTTTTATTCTATTCGCCGTTCGGCGTAAGTAAGATAGTTGGACATCCCTGCGAAGCTGGAGAGGGTCGCAAGTGGTAATTTATTTCATTCAGATTGGGTTACAAGTTTTTATGTCAGTTGTGGTGAGAAAAATGTAATACTTACTGTGGTAATATTAATGGTGGGGAATATGTTCTGGAACATGGTGGCCATGAGTTTCATGTGCATGCCCTCCCCGGAGAAGCTGTTCAGCACAATGAGTGGAGCGTGTTGGAAGGCGCGCATCATTACGTATTGCTTGCGCATTGATGATATCACGTCACGGGCTAAAGTGTACTGCGGACATGTTTTGCTAGTTTTACACATCCTATTTCATACATTGATGTCTGTTTCTACTTAACATAAAATTATTTTAATTTAATTTAAATAAAGTTTGGCAAAATATAGTCCAAAAAACCATACAGCGTCTTACACATTGACTTGTGAAACTTTTGCATTTAATTTTCATTAATATTTCTTTTATAATAATTACTTACAATTTAACATGAGAGAAATGATTATGGTTAGGAAAAAGTTAAGTTTTTTGCTAACAAAAGAAAGAAAGAAATATGTGTAGTTTCTTACACTGTGTATTCGGAAAGTGAGAGTAGGTCCACGAGGCAGCCTAGCCATACGCATGTAAGAGCCAATATCTGTCTCTGTGAACACCATCATGTGAGAGACATGCAGGTACCCCGACACTGAGACAAAATCCTTAATTGTGTTCTTTTTCCTTTCCTGAAAAAATAAAGATTAGATGAATATTATTTTGAAAATTTTATTCTTTCTGGTATATCACAAAAATGGAAAAATGGTTTATTCAATTATAAACAAAGTTTGTTCAATAGTATTGTTCCTTTTAAGTGTGAAAACACTTGACAATTTAGTACAACTGAAGCCACATTATGGAATTTTGATCATTGTAGTGGTTTAACTAAATTTAACATAGATCTTTTATGGATATTAAAACTATTGGTGATGTTATTCCGAGGTTTTACAATAATGTCTATAGATAAATTTCACAGAAACACGGCAAAAATGTGCATATTTCACAACATAGAAAAAATATATGAAAAAAAATCAAACCTTTAATTGTGAAGCTGTAAACGGTTCCATAAGCTTTCTGAAATCCTTCATGAGGTCGATGAGGTCCTTGCTGCATTGTCCGCGATGAATCACGAAGGAATGAGGAGCTTTTACCAAATGCTCTGGCTCCAGGGACTCTTTAGAAGATGGATTCTTCTTCACACATTTTCCTTTACGTTTACCCATTGTAAATACTTAATAAACTAACGTATAAGGGATGTAACTGTAGTCTTAGACACTTTATTAATTAATATATTTTTTCTTTTTGTCCAGTCAGCTTCCGACTTATATCAATAATATATCCACGAGATTTTGTTTACTTTTGAGGTTAGAACAGGACATGCATGAAGTTTTTGACATTGACAGTTAATTAAATGTCATTCCCTCCAGTTCTGAAACGCTAAATAAAAAACTGCAGAAAAATGTTGGAGGAAAAAGAAGATAGAAACGTCATCGTCGTCGTGTGGCGGGAAATTTATCTAACTAAGCTATTGTACAATGCTTGTGTAGAGCAGAGTATATTATGTAATGCAGTCTTTCGCTAGCTGGGTTGGTTAAACGCCCCTCCGCTTATTCTTAAATCTCTAACCTCCAAAATACCAGCAACATTTGTCACCCGTACTTGCCTTCCATCAGGTGATCCTAACATTTGTTAGCTCATTCCATAAAAAATACCCAAGACAATATGGCGGGAAGCCATCAGCGGGAATTGTGCGTAATATACATTGTTTTGCATACTTTACCCAGAAGCTCTCACGAGATGCTCATTCATTTTTGAATAACCCCATATTAGTGGTCGTGGTGGCCCGGAGGTTAAGGAGCCCGCTTCTCATGCATGAGGTTGTGGATTCGAAGCCTGGCAAGAGTATTAATATGACTTTTTCCGAGTGTACTTTCTATGATTATTTAGACACCACTCGTGAGGAAACGTGGACTTATAATTTCTAAATATAACTTTAAAATCGCCAATCCGCATTGACAAGCGTGGTGATTAATGCTCAAACCTTCTCCGTGTGAGAAGAAGCCTTTGCTCATAAGTGCCACGTAAAGGCTGATGATGCTTAGCAGTCGCGCTAACAACTCACCATGAAACATTAGATTGTGGAGCAAGGAAGTACCTACTTAGTTATTTCTATGATAAAAACATGCAATTTTTTAATGGTACAATTGGAAAATATTTATTATCGTTTCATATTTAAATCCCCTTCTTCTCAGTACAACTGCGAAGGTTTATTTAAAAAAGCCCAACTGACACGGCACGCAATTTATTCCCCACGGGATAGGTTGAACAATACCGGTAGAATGGTCCGGGAAACGGGGACACCGGACCAACAAAGCAGGTAAGAAAAAAGGGAATAAAAATAAAACGCGTCACAACAAATCAAAACAGCTTTATTTCCTGCTGGTTCATCTGTGGGTTCTTGAAACTACGCTAGGTATCTTTGTCTAAGTCTCATTATGTATTTCAAGCGGTTTTGTTCATTATTTACTTAGTACTTGGTATACAAAACCTCTCCGTTTTGAGACCTTAGATTACAATAGCTTAAATGTTAAATGAATAAATACATAATTTCAAATGTGTTCTTGCTGTGTACGTAACATTGCAAGGTTAGTACCAGCACAGTAAACAAAGTTGAGTAATATGAGACATAACAGCTAACCACACTATAGTTTCATACACCTTGAACTCGACTAGTTCACCAACTATATCCCCACTACCACGGGTTACTCGCACACTACAAATTCGATAGAGAGAAAGCATATGGTACAAAACATTGACTTATCACGACACGTAATTACTCAAGTAAACTCATGGTAGTGGTTCCGAATCACATAAGAATGGTTTTGAATTCTCTATCTTATTTTAAGTGCAATTAGGTGCAATATCGTACCCACCAACTATCCTATTTTGGGTATGAATTTAAAAAACAAAGTGTATTTGGTAGCAAGTCTGACTCACAAAAATTTAGTTTGTTATTATCTAGCTATGCACCGAAAGCGGCTTGCCTGTCAGTGGGCCGCGGACGGGTCGCTGGCCGCACCGGCGCGCCGACACCGTATATAATGGATGAACCCCAACCAAAATATACAAAATATCTTACATTAATAAAGGTGCAATAGAAAATTACATAAAAATAGAGAAAACATTGTTTCGTTGAGAGGAACTAGAAACATTATTCAAATTCATTTGCGATACGTTATTTTTTTTAATATAAATCACAATAAAGAATGTTGCAGAGAAACAAAGATTACTTTTGTAATTATGAAATATAAAAAGCCCCTATTTTACCCCTATTAAATTAGCTACTATCTATAGTCCATTCTATACTATCTCAGTTAAATACCGTATCATTAATTTTATTTAAAATCATATTTATAATGTGTACACATGAACGTGACCAAAACTAAAGTAACACTGATAAACTGTGCGAGAGCGTGGGCCGACCCGGACCAGTGCTGACGCAACCTCAATGACCAACATGTCGTGTTGCCATAGTATTCCAAAATTAATAAAAACCTAGCAGTAATAAATATTAGCCGTAACAAATTGCATTACTATGTAATAAAATTAAAAATTATAAAATCCACATACAAAATCAGATGTCACGAGATCAGATTGCTTCGAAGCGCATCAGCGAGTTTTCCAGTATTACTTTATGTTTCAAACAAACTGCTTATTAAACGACAATAGAATATGTTTATTTGCAGCGCACGTGGTAACGTAAGCTTACAAGTAATCTAGCAATACGATTGCAACATTAATCAAAATATAGTATATACGCCACGAGGCCGCAAGTAAACACACTCGCACACCGACGCCCCATACATAATGCTATCGTGAACGATGCGTGTAATGTTAGGGTACCCTTCCATATATGACAAAAAGGTACAAGTCGAAGCGTCAAGCTTTAAAATCATAGGTTCGCGGAGTTAGTAACATAGATCGTTTAAACATTTATCAACTAGTTAAGTGCGAAAAATTATAGGCACAAACTTTCTAACATTCATTTTTATAATTGAGATACCATTTAATTTTATATTTCCCGCTTTAAGTTCAAATGGTGCGATGTCATGGCCTAGGTAGTCTATCGAAGCCACAATAGATGATGAATGATTAATATCAATTGTGCCAATAAGTATATGTCCGCACCGCGCGAGGTTCTCTGCTCTTGTTTATTGGGTAGAGATGTACCGGCTGACATAATGTTACACCAGTATATAGTTAAAATAAATACTATTAGCACTAAAACCTAAGTTTCAATTGAGCTAACTTAATCGATGTAATTCATTCGTAATCCTGTAATGTTCCATGCGCTTCAAGTTCTGAACGTTGGATATAATGTAGACTAGTTGACTAATACTCGACTACCGATACATCCCTGAATGAATGTCGTCGCAGAGTGCCACCAGATAGCGACACAGTGCGCCATACCCGCGCGCGCGACGCGTCGCTGAAGTCCTCAACTATATGTAACAAAACTAGTATGAACCACTTACAAATGTGCAACCACTGAGTCGTCGTGGTTGAATTTTCGCAATAAACTACAAAAAGCTACACTCCCTTCGTACAAAGCATCACAAAAATACTACAAAGAAACGTGTAGACGTAACAGAATATGTTAAAATCGAGCAAAATGATCGATAAATTAATAACAAAATATGTTATATGCAAAAAAATATAATTAAGTTGTCGCTCGCGGGCGATGGTGGAGCCCCCGGGCGAGTTAGTTCAGTCGAATGAACTAGGTATATTACAAAATTGTTGTGATGCCAAGTTGGTGCTCGCATCAGTTTCGTCCAAACCACAGCTGAGTTGTTTAGTGTTGATCCATCTGGAAAATTATAATATTCATTTTAATACTTTCCGCTCTTACCCCTGACATTTTCAAACACAAAAAGCTTTTGAACTTAAATGTTGAAGTTTCAATTTTTGGCACTAATGTCTCATAACACTATAACTTAGTACATACTTGTTCCTGGCCATTAGTCTCCTGTGATTTCATCACGTCAGGCAAGTCCGGTGGAGAAGAGTAAGGAGTCAGATCCAGTGCCTCAAACTCGCCATTTTCCTTCCTGTGAAAGCAACAAATACATTTTACCATTATTATCTGTTAGTATGCTGATTATAGCTCTGTTAAAGTACTATGTTTGCTTTATTTTGTTTTATCCACCTATATAGTTTAGTTCTAGATTTTTGGTGACTGGGAAAATTATAAAGTAACTTCGCCTGTCCTGTGTGGAGAGTGTCAGGCTTTTACTGAATAAAACTACCCCGTTCCTGCTCCGGAACGAGGCCGCAGTATTGCTTGCTACTGCTTGCATCCACAACCCCGGAAATCGGCACAAAAATCAAATCAAATTTTTTTGTCGTGTTGAATAGACCTTAGATTTCAATATTTCGAAAATTAGGCCAAATTTTCGAAATATTGAAATCAACTGCGCAGGGGTACACAACATTCTTACCTACACAAATCTGACGAACCTCCTTTTTATACATTAAAGACAATGAGACTTGTGCAATAGAGGAAAAACCTGTCTTTCATGGCAATATTTTATAGTAAAGTAAGAAATAGGTCCCCAACAGACCCAAAGACTGGAAATTATTATGAGTTTCGACCAAAGAGTATGAGGTAATTAAAAAATAATTTATGCTACTTTAAATTAGTGGCATAGCAACGGATCACAATCCATGACGCTGACGCCTTTTTAATATTATAATTGTTACGACTTCTGTAATAAGCTGATTTTCGACAAAAAATGCGCGCGTGTTTGATCATTTTATATAAAATTATAAATATTCAGTAAGGTTATGGGTATACGAGTACATATACTTGGGCCTGTTAGTTTCTTTCGATAACAGGCAGGAGAAGGAAATAGATCGCCGTATTGAGAACGCCTGGAAAAGCTACTGGTCCATAAAGCATTAATATGAAAAGGGGTCCTTCCCCTTCCACTCAAGATTAAGTCCACTCAAAATTAGTCGACATCTGTATCTTGCCTGTTCTAACTTACGGTGCGCAAACTTGTTCTCTCACCGAGTGTCAGAAGTCCAGGCAAAGGGTTTGCCAAAGCGCAATGGAACGTAGCCTGTTGGGCATAAAACGGACCGATTGCATACGAAATACCGTGATACGTTCCAAAACAGGAGTCGCTGATGTGGGCCAAAATGCGGCAAAATTAAAATGGGACTGGGCCGGACACGTCAGCCGAATGCATCCGGGAGAAGGGCCACTATTGTCACCCAGTGGACACCTCAGGGTGGAGTACGCAGGCGGGGTAGGCCCCGGAAATTATGGCGGTACGATCTAGACGCCTATTGTTGAGACTGGTGGACACGGTCGAAAGATCGGATGGTCTGGGAGCGAGATGGGGAGATCTTTGCCCACCAGTGGGACAT